GTCATTTACCAACAGGGTGTGTGCTTGTACAGCATCAAGCAATAAAGGAAGAATGCAGGTAATCAGGCCCTCAGTTTGAACTTGGATCATTGAGGAAAGTAGGTTAAGTAAAGTCACTGTATTGCTTAACTGAAGTCAGCTGGCTGCCAGATTTAGCAGGAGCTGACAGTTGTAAACACACTCTTATCTAGTGGTTCAGGAGACGCGGGCCATGCAGAGCAGTTAGACGCTGTTGACACAGGTTTCTGTCAGAAAGGGCAACCCTGAGCACACACAGCTTTGTTGATAGCACTGCCAGTTAGTGAGCACAAATGGTTTGTGCGGACACGGGTTTATCTTGAGATGAAAGTCGATTTGAATGCAAAAGTTAACGCCGGATGTTTATAACTTTTGCCTCCATCCACACTGAAAACTTCCTCCCTAACGAGCGCTCACACATGCTAAATATACTCCTTTAAAGGGCGCACTCGGACTGCCACCTTCCTCTCCTGCTCGCGCCTGCACAGGCACACAGTGGGCTATTGTGTCTGAGCTCTCTGGCATCTGGAGAGCAGAAACCCTCTTTGGTGACCTCTGACCTCGGATTGCTGAGAGTCGCAGACTGACGTGAAGCACTCCGAGGGACTTTCAGGTGGCTCAGAGGACATTTTAGGGATCGTTGTATAATGTCGTTTTTTTCTTACGTCTCCACAGTATGAGCTGAGTAGTAAAGATAAGTGAGGAAAAGTGTTTTACACATGTCTTCATAGTGACTTGCAACAACCTGCTGGAGGCGATGAGAAAGATTTGTGTTGTGGTGGTGCATTGTTTTTCACAAAAGTGGTGTAAAGTCGCACAGTGTGAACTCTTTAAATAACATTATTGTGTGCAGCTGTAATGGAAGCACAGGAAAAAGCCTTTTTTTTGACAAGCAACCAAGATAAACTGGTTTGTGGAGTTCAGCAATCAGCTGCACAAGCCAACGCTTCAGGGCTCAAAACAATATTAGATATTTATTTCCTGGATTTGATGGTTTTATTAAGGTGGTTATGTGATTTAAAAAAAACTTCTACCCATTATTCCTGCTGTGTTTCCTTTGTTGGTAGGCATTTATACGAGCACCAGTTTAACCTATCAAGGTAAACAAATGGCCAACGGAAGATCCCGTCTATTTGCTGCTGGTAAAACTTCATGTTTCTCTGTGCCGCCGTGGGGACACCATCACAAAGGACTCCAGCTGGCTCTCTGTAAGAGTGTGTGTGACAGAGACACTGCTGGACAAATGGACTTATCCTGTCCCTCCTACTCCTTTTCTTCCTCTGTCTCGTTCGGCTTTTCCTCTCTGTTGGCCGATCTCTACCCACTCCCCCCAACGGGCAGATCCAAACCCCAAACATGGTGCAGCTGGGCTCAGCTGTCAGTGTTCCACTAACACCCACCACACACACACACACACACACACACACAAACACTCCCCCGTCCCGGCCTTTGTGTTTGTTTGGACGGCAGTGGATTTGCTCTTGGCCTCCGCACGGGGGAGCTCGCTCCTGCTCGGCTCGCCTCTTAAAACCAAACCATCTGCTCTTTGAAGTGGCCCATCACAGATACACAGATTAGAGGCTACAAGGCAGCCGCCTGCTTTCAATCTGTTGCGCTGTGACATGAACACGGTGATTAAAATAAAGGAAACACCTCTGCAGACGCACAAGTGGGACGCAGTGGCCAGCAGAGTCAAAACAAGAGGTGGGCAGCAGGTCTGTTTTTGTTCTGAGGGCTGGAAAAATGAATGGAGGCTGCTTTGTCTCGGGGGAGGGAAGAGGGMTTTTTTTTCTTTGATATTATCAAAGCCAGGGGTGGGGAGAGTGCGCTGCCAAGAAGAGCTGCTATTCACACCAACTTGTCGGCATGGGACTTTTGAAGCATTTGTCAAGAAAGGGATTTGGCAGAGGGCCACTAGAATTTTGTCATTCACAAACTCCCCTCTTCTTTTGGATGACAATGCTCTCAGCAGGCTGCTGCTACCTCTGTGAGGGGGGAAGAAGTGAAATCCCCCCAACCCCATTTCCATTAAGTGAGGAAATTGTCTTTTTCCTTTGCATACAAGCAAATCTTCCTTATTCTGTAATCCAAACTACATTAGAATACAGTTTCCCACATTCATTCTCCAAGGGATTGGTGTATCAGATTCCTGCTTCACTCTGTCCTTGACTCGATGTGTGGGAGTGTAGGGCAGTGTAGCTGTCTTTCATGGCTGCAGGAGGATCAAACTTTTCTTATCATTTTCTATGGAAACTAGAAACCTGACCCCTGCATTATCAGGCCAGTTGTGTGTTCCTCTCGCTTTAGTCAGGATGGAACAAAATTTAAGATCCCACTTGTTTTCATAACTGGAAGTTTAAAAAAAAAACATAAAAGTTAAATCCAACGAAGCCCCCCTGGCACATGGCGGTACATTGACAGCAGCTCCCGACGGATGGAGAGCATCGACAGGAAGTCTGCGGTTTCTCTTGATGTGGAGCGGTTGAAACATTAAGCAAGATGGTGTCGGTGTTATATTCGTGTGTGTCTTCAGGCCTGTACGCGCATGCATGTGTGTGCGTTACGACTCTTGGGTGTGTTTGTTTAACCTGCGTTGGCATTTGAAACCCCTGTCATTCTCTGGAGTCTCTGGCTCTCGCCCTGACAGCTAGGTGGGACACTTCGCGGCGTCTCCAGTTTCATATAGTGCTTTATCGAGCGGATGGAAACCCTCTTCTGTGGGCATGAGGGGAGCATTGACACACAATCACTAACACTCATTTGTGACTTTCAGATGACTTGAGGGGTAAATCTTCTGGAAGTAGCTGACATTTTATCCTTTAAGTCTCCACAGTTAATAGAAGCCAGGACCTAAACTTCTGTCATGTATTCTTTGACAGTCATAGTAATTACTCAAATTATTATGCTGAGACTTCAGTTCTGGGTACGGTATGCTTGATCTTCTCTTTGTATGGCTTTGGCAATGTTTCATACTTTCATTGGATCTCAGTACAACATATGACAATCATCTGTTGGAGAAAATACAGTCAGCCTTTTTAGTTGCCTCATATACCACATTAACAACCTTGTGATCTCATCTCAGTGCCGTCCACTTGAATACTTTCCAGCTTGTCAAAACCCAAGTGAAGTCTTGTCTGCAATCATCCAATCCAGAGGGAGGTGGGAGGGCAGTTGGAGGCTGGTGGATGATAAACTAAAAGCATGAGGTCAGCCCTATGTTTACTTTCACATTAAGGCCTCTGTATGAAACTTTGTTTTGCCTTTTATAAAGACAGAAGGCAAAACAAACAAGATCTCTCTGTAATAGTTTTAGACGTGGCTACGGGTGCTGGGCGTGTATGCCAGTGGTTTTCAGAACGATCTCACCTCGCAAGGATGTTTGTCTTTTGTAGGGATTAAAAAAAATCCAGGAAGCCCGCTGCCCTAGTTCTGCTGCTGAGAGCACGGGGAGCGCGACCTAGTTTCGATGACAGCACCAGTCCGAGGAAGGAGATTCCAAGCCATAATGTTGTTAGGAGATGGCTGGTTTTTGTCGCTCTGTAGACAGGCTGTGTTTTCTTTGTCTGTTAGCGTGTTTCTTTAGACGGGCTTCTGACTCAGGGTGTGTGAGAGCCTCCATTGTCTGCACAGGACCTGTGGCTGTAACATGAGAAGGAGAGAATGCTGACAGAAAGTATGAGTGTGTTACCGAGCACAGCTCCGGTGATTTTTCTCTATAGATATTTACTTAGATTGTATAGAGTTCTCTGACTGATATCTATGAGTCATTGTCTTATTTTTTTCTTTTTCTTTTTTTGTTCAGTCAAAAGTAKAGCTGTTCACCAGCCTTTAATGCAGCCAGCACTATCAATTTGTTTTAGATACAGTGGCTGTCGGGAGGGCTTAGCCATTTAGATCAGTGGGTCAAGTAGCTAACATGCTAATCCTGTTATAGATGCAGTTCTGAGTTGTCAAAGTTGGCTCTAATATYCTGTCTGTTTGACTCCAAAGCTTGGACAAAAAGTTGTTCAAGTGGCATATTGTTCTTTTGGCTGCTCCCTTCTTCAGGAGTTGCCACAGTAGGTAAACTCACATGAAAGATTGTCAGCTGTTTTTCCAAGTGACCTTCCTGACACAACTAGAGCTTGAACCTTGCAGCCTTTTGCTATAACTTGTTTTAGATATTAACCCCACTTCTATAAAGGTTTTGAGTTATTTTAAGATGGGGTCAATCCACTTAAGACCTGTTTAGACTAGCTCATAGAATAGAATAGAATAGAATAGAATAGAATAGAATAGAATAGCTCATCACAACTGTTAGAATTAAACATGATTTGTTAAAACTCAGATTTTTTAAAGGGGGGGGGGGTTATTATGTATTTTTCCAGGGACATAGTTCAATTCTACACCAAAATCAAGTAACTAAGTTAACTTTAGTTGTTATGAAAATGCTGTATATATCAAAAATAAATTTGACTTTGCATCATAGTCTTGAAATTGAAAGAGCCTTGAAATTGGCTGCTGTCTCTTTAAGAACCTCCTACCATTTCGGACACTCCCACTTCAGCATGTTTTCAAACAATGCTTTGGGGGAGGGGCGCTCTGTGGGGCGGGAGCTCAGCTGCAGACTGAGCTTCAGGGAAGAGCTTGGCTGTGGACTGACCTCTAGGGAGGAGCTTTGTGCAAGTAGGCGGTGCTTTGTACTAMCAAGCGGCAGCTTCAAATATCTACCGCAGGAGATTCAAGGACTTCTTAAYCATTCATAAATTAGTCAAAGCAGCAATTTATGTATGTTTATAATGAAGGAATGACATTATAACATGGTGTAAAGCTCCAAAAAGTTGATTTTGCATAATACCCCCCTGACACACACACACAAATAAGATGTTCAGTGTTCATAACCTTTCCACAGAATTGCATTGTAAAATAACTAAACTGTTTAAAATGTTTAAAAAAAAACTTAAAGTTTTAATGTGTATTTTTTGTCTGTTTCTTCTTTACAGTATCATCATGCATCACCACATACAAAAAGACACCACCCCCRGTCCCACCAAGAACCACGCCATCCAAACCGTTCATATCCATAACGGCCCAAAGCAGCACAGAGTCCGCTCAYGACGCCTACATGGACGGGAGCTCGGGCCAGCGAACGGGCATCAGCTCCCAGCCYGGCCTGTCCAACTCCACGGAGAGCATCGACAGCATGAAGGCTCTGACGGCGGCCATAGCGGCAGCTAACGCTCAGGTGCACGGCCCCGCCAGCCAGCATGTCACCAACAGCACCATCACCATCACCGCCACAGCCACCACCGTCACCGCCGACAGCAACGCGCAGAGGGAAGCGCTTCGCAAGTGCCTCTCCATTGGGATTCAGGTTTGTGGACGAGCTTTCAGTTAAAAACCCTACACACGACTCATGGCTGCGGCGTGACAGCTCTTCCTTCTCGTAGGTGGAGCCAGAGGAGGAAGGGCCGACAGAGGAACAGTRTAAATTCCAATCCATAGGAATTCAGGTGGAGGATGAGCGATGGTGAGTAGAGACACAAAGTGAAACTGGATAGGTCTGAAGGGAGGTATGAGGCTCCATGGGAAAAGAGAGGGGTTGGCAAAGTGCACCCCCTCTCCTCCACWGGGGACTCCTCAGCAGCTGTCCCTTGTTCAAGAGAGGTTGGCGTCAGAGTCCGCTCAGCCAGGGGCCCCAAGGCGACAGCTGGGCTAAAGGATGTGGCGGAGTTGAGAAGGTGGAGGGGGCGAGTTGACAGCCATCTGTTGCTCCACGTATTGTGATTCAGACTTTCTTTGAGTCTGTGTGTTTGTGTGTGTTCAGGAAGGAGGAGAGAGGCTGTCAAAAGCARGCTCACCGTTTCAGGACCGCCAGCCTTGTTCAGACTGTTTCATAACCAAGGCCTCWGATGAGGAGGCATTTATGGCTTCTTTGTCCTCCTTTTCATCCACCATCTCGATACAGTGTCCTTCTGTTTGGTGAGAAAAGCTGACCGTTTTGGCATCACAGCACATGTTTCTGTCCTGGAAAGGCGCTATTTATTTCTAGTGTTCAGAAGGAGATCAGCTTTAATCAAAGGTCACCGCAGGGGCCGAGTCGAGCACTTAAAAACACACACATGAACAGTGTCAGAGAATGCGAGGGGGATTTCTCAAAGAGGGAGGTCTCAACTGATTGACCAAGCTCGGATTTCCATGAGTCGCCAAGCCAAATATTAACTCATCCAGACACCTTCTGGTCTGCAGAGGCTGGGATGTTAACACAGCATGGCAGCTGGTGCTTTTCTTTCTGGTTAATGTTTAGAATGTGTTGGACTGTATTTTTCCTTGCTTTATTGTTTACCTGTTTGCCTGCTTCATATGTGAGTGTGTTTTTGTATTCYTCTGCCCCTTAAATTAGATTCCTAGTTATGGTGCCAATCGCATTTGGCTTTGCTTCTGTGTGTCTGTTTAAGGTTTTATACGGAGCAGCTGTATGCCATAATCACCCCCTACTATGTGTTCTAGGAATACCAGATGTTTTGTAAACAGGTTGTTAAAGATAGGAACAAATGTTAAAATTTTTATGACGTGACATTACTAATTAACAAACCTGAAAGTATTGATTTAAGTAATGCCAAATAAACTGAAGAAAGAAATAGAAGTTGAAGAATCGTTTCATTTGTTATGGAGCTTTAAATGAGTAGGTTTGGACTTGTTGGTAACCAAATGGCTTTTATTCCCATGGTGACTAAATCATCACAAACATTTTTTTTTGAAGAGTCAACCTGCATGACAGCAAGCACACTTCAAATAAAAAAAGGCATTCCAAAATTAAAAGATTACTGAAAAGCAGTGATTTAAAGCTGGAATGTAATAAAAACATGAACTTTTTCTGACTTTTCTTGCCTCCTGCYTACTTTCTCAGACTTTATAGTTCCTCTGCTGTCTTAAAACTGGACTTTTTTTTCCCACTTTAAATGCCCTGCACCTTCACATCCTGTGTATTGATATGTCTGTGTATCTGACTGGGCTGTGTTTGGCCTTGCCTCACTCTGCCCCGGCAGGAAGTTGTTAGCGGGCTGATAGAAAGCAAGCTGAGGTCATTAGAACTGAACACCTGCTTGCTGGAGTTATTTTTTAACTGCTCTTCACACATACTCACACATACACACACACAGGGCTGCTGGTATGCACACATTAAAGATCACACACACACACTCTCCCTCTGTTTGATCTGTCCGATGCCACTCCCTTGTTCCTGCTCTCTTTTCTCTTGTTCACAGCAGAGGAGGGGTGAATGGTGGGGAGTAAAGATGAATGGTTGTGGAGGAGTGTTTGTCCGGAGATGGGCTGTGATCGTTTGCATGTGTCACGTTGCGGGCAGGTCAAGCTGCCTGTTCTTGTGTGAAAAGGGTTGTGATCATGTGTTTGTGGGAGAGCATTCACCGAGCTGGATGTTCGATCTCTTTATTTCAGCTCGTTGAAACTGTAAAAAAGGCAAGTGTTTAAGCTTAAGTTGCCACTGATTTGTTTTAGTTTGTCCCTAAATCTGTTTATTTCATTTTGTTTTGGGTTAAAATYGAGCATATTTTACATTAGCAGTAGGCTTGTCCAGTCACCTCACTGTACACTGGTCAGTCCACTACTGTCATGCCACCCAGTAACTCACATTCCTCCATTTATTACTCAGCTAATGAGAAGCTCCACAAAACATAACCAACTGTGTGTGTTTGTTTAACTTTTTCCACACGTGCGTTAATGTTTCGGCTGTCGCACCGAGTTCTGGAGGACTTAGCAAAGCCTGGCAGTCAGTAGCACGTCACTGCGCCAAGTAATACATGGCAGTATCCCAGGTGTGTGAACGGGTGTGTTTTTAATGCCTGCGCCGTGTGTGTTTGTGTGAGTGTTCATTCGGCCTTGCAGCAGCTTTTATGGCGTGACAGATGTTTGCACACTCTATTGCGTCTGAATGAGACAGGTGACAAAACACCCACCCACAGAAAGAGACGTTCCACYCTACAAAAGCTATTCATCGGCGAGGAGGCCGCTYTGATCATGATTTCTGTTTGTCTCTCCAGGGAGCGCTTCCAGATATTGTGTGTTAAAGGGGCAATATCATGTAAAATCAAATTTTGAGTTTTATATCATYTTATAATGTTATACTGTCATAAAAAAACATACCCAAAGCCTTGCTTTGACTCATTCATGCATGTTTGAGAAATCCTGCAGCATTTTTAGGCAGCCATGCTGAGGAGCAAAACGACAGGTGGGGACCAGAAACGCCTCTGGGATGTGTCTCAAAGCTGAGCTTCCTCATCACGGAGCACACCTCCCCACCTCCCAACCCCCTGCCCATGACTCCTGCAGGCTCTCGGCAGTAACAAAGCAAAGTGAAAGTGAAACTTAACTGTCTGCTGCTCTCAACACTACTGCTCACTCAGTGAAACTCTTTTCAGGTTCAAAATATCTTTGAGGAAATGTATTCTCAGATGCCAAGCAAACTGCATCATAGCCTCCCACCCCGCACTGAAATGGGCGAGTCAGAAGCAGAAGGTGGTTCTTAAAGAGACAGAGGCCAATTTCAAGGCATTTAGAAGAGGAAGTGATGAGAAGATGTTTATTTTCTATTTAAACATAAAAGCAGCATTTCAATAACAGATAAAGGTGACATAGATACTTTATTATGGTATAATCTTTAAATGTATGCCTGAGAAACACATAATATTGCCCCTTTAATAGATATTTACTGCTAAAATAAATCAAGTAAAATAATCTCCTTCGCTTTTGCATTTCTCCCTAGTCACCGCAGGATGACCCGGTCCAACAGCGTGACCACGGCGGTGCAGGCAGACCTCGACAACCCGACGAACGCCCCGGAGCTGCCGCCGCGCCCGTACGCCACCATGCCGCGCCAGCACTCCCGAGACGCCGCGACCTCCACGGTGAGCATCCAGGGCTCGGGGAACCACTACCACGCTTGTGCCGGTGACGACTACGGGGAGGTGGGCTTCGACCCTTCCATCCTGCCTCCTCCAGACCCCTGGATGGACAGCGTGCCCGAGCCGGAGTCGGGGGCCTTGGAGGCCGTCAGTCGATCGGTGTGCCCTCGAGACGGTCGCTGGTTCCTGAAGCTGCTACAAGCGGAGACGGAACGTATGGAGGGCTGGTGCAGGCAGATGGAGCAGGATGAGGTGGAGAATGAGCTGCCTGATGAGAGTAAGCTCGACAAAAAAAAAATCTGGTATACTGTGCTATTATGTCTGTTTTTTTAATCCTCCTATCCTCACCTGATTTAGAGAGTGCTGGCATTCCCAGCATTGGACTACAATAGCTGCTTGTTCCTGTCTCAGGCCCTCTGGCCTCCACAGGCATACCGTGCATACTTACATGTATCAATAGGCCACTGCTGGCTGCAACTGCACATGTCTTATAGTTTGTCTCTCACAAGAACAGAGTTCTCTCAGAGCTCCTTCGAGGCAACTATTTGATCTTGAAGTGAGCAYTGCTTGTCTGCTTGCGCCTAAAAGATGCCTGTAAACACAGAAACTCACGTGGTCATACCAGTCTGAACAAACAAGCCTGCAGCAGTTTTTTTTTTTTACCTGTCCTTAACTGTGCAGCTGATGTCATGCTTTACTGAACATGTCATCGCTTATGCAGCACGTGTTTTGGTTCCAGGCAAGAGGTTCTCACACAAGACGCAGAGAAACGAAGGAGAGTGTCTCAAGGTTATGTTTTCCCAGCTCCCACACTACCGGCCGTGCACACACACACACACACACACACACACACACATCCTGAGGGGGCTACTGCAGATTCATTACTCCCCCCTCAGTTTCTGATTCCACAGGCTTCATGCGGTTTGTTGCATGCATCTGCAGTGGTTTTCCATAGAGACAAACAAATCTGTTGCTCTAACTGGTGGAATCTGGTAATGCAGCGCGTCGTGCATTGCAAACGATCGACCTGCCAAACCATACATTTTTACAGTCTTGCAAGGTGGTTTTGACAAAAAAAGACACTTCTACCCTTGTAAATGCCCAATAATTTTCATTWTTGAGGGGGAAAAATTAAGATTTTTGCAAAGATTTCACTTTATTACATTACTGATGCATCTCCCTCTGTGAGTGGTGCAGCATGCCTGCAGTATGCAGCGCTGTGAGTAATTGCAATGTTGAATGTGTGTGTTTGTGTTTGTGTGTGTGTYTGTGCATGCATGTGCGTCTGTGTTTTTCTGCAGTCCTGGGTAAGATCCGCAGTGCAGTGGGGAGTGCCCAGCTGCTGATGTCCCAGAAGTTCCAGCAGTTCCGGGAGCTGTGTGAGGAGAATCTGGTATGTGTCACCTCATCCTCTGCATGCTCCACACAAGCCGCCCCTCCCCCGCTCCCTCTCCTCCTCTTTACGCTGACATCATCCTGCACAAATCATGCTGACAGGCCAACCTAGCAGTCATTTATTGTGCATCTTGTGTAGACATCATGTTTTCGCCATCTTTTGACAATCGATCTCACGGTGTGGAAGCAGGAGCGTGACAAACGACGAATCTTTAAATTCAGTCTCTAATATTAACCCATTGTTGCATCAAGATTTGTGACCCATCACATCGAAACGAGGATTAAGTCTAAAAGTTGAATGTGGAGAATCAGGCAGATACAGTGTTTTGATTAAAACGCTTGCAAAAAATTACATTTTGTCAAAATATAACAAAGAAATGTGTTATCAATATATCATTTCAATGAACTGTCTGAAATATAATCCTAAATTTTTTGAAGTACTTTTTTGAGCATTAGCAACCAAAAACCCGATTTTGAAGAAAAACACCTTAAAATGTTTTTACTATTTGAGGTTTTTTTTTTTTCAAATGACATAAAAAAAATCCTCATTAAAATCACATAAAATTAGGATTTAGACCAAATATTTATGTATTATTGTAACCAACGAGACAAATTAAATAATATCTCTGGATCTACTAATGATATCAGGGTGATCTAAGTAAAAAAAATAGCTTTTAAAGCCAGGAATCTGAAAACATGATTAGGTCATTTTGACCAGATTTGACCTAATCCTCATTTCGATGTGATGGGTCACATTTTATGTAACAGAAAAGAACAGCTATTCCAAAGCTGAGAGAAGGTTTTAATTGTTACAGTTTTAGGAAAAAAAATTGAACTGAATTTGTGTTATTGTGGACCACATAGCCGATGAGATGAAAGGAATACTTGTGCAGCAGACTGGCAAAGTGATGTGTGTTTGATTAAGAGTGTTGAAGAAATCAAAGGCATAAACTGAATACAAGCCAAGAACTCATTACTACATATTACAATACAGTGACAAAGTCTGATAAGCTCTGTGTCATTTAAATTCTAAATACCCTGCCAGACAGCAAAAAGAAAAGACAAAAACTGAGGGATTAGGCATATAAACATGTGTTTGTATGCTTGTCTTCGTGTGTATATCAGAACCCAAATGCGCATCCGCGACCCATCTCCCAGGACCTGGCAGGTTTCTGGGACATGCTCCAGCTGTCCATCGAGAACATTAGCCTGAAGTTTGATGAACTCCACCAACTCAAAGCCAACAACTGGAAACCTCTGACTCCCCCAGAAATCCAGGTGCAAAACACTTATGGCAAAAAAAAAAATTAACGTAAAAACTCATTTTACTGTCTAAATAATTGAACTCATTCTAAATTTTGGAATGCTTGAATAACCTGCATGTTCTCTGCCGTCATTGCTGTAAACGTTGAGCCATGAAAGTCAAAGCTGAGCGTTGGATGCAGCATGCAGATGTGTTTTGTATACGGTCATGTCGCCTGCCTGACGCCACTACTTGTGTGTTTTGTTCTGTCTTGTTGTTGACAGTGAGCTGCTTTACAGAAGCTACTCTACCTGCCATGCACCGTTGGGGCCTGTGCATCTCCAATGGTCTTTTACCTCACACAGTGGCCACCATCGTGCTCTCTTACCCCACATAAATGGCTGCCACTCCGAACCATCATTGCATGCTCTCATGTTAGCCGCCGACTGCTAAATCTAACCTTCATTCAAAGCGGAGTTGCATCATCGCTCGTCATTGTGTTTAGCTGAAGGAGTCGGTGGTCCAACTTTAAGACTGTTTATCATTCCCATCCAGGAGAGAAGGATGCCCCCTCCTGTGCCAAAGAAGCCCCTGAAGGGCCACCCGCCTCTGGCTAGGGATCGCTCTCTGGAGAGCTCTGAGCGCCAGCGCCTGGAGGCTCGCAAACGCCTGCTAGCTGCCAAACGGGCCGCGTCAGTGCGGCAGAGCTCCGCCACCGAGAGCGCAGACAGTATCGAGATTTATATTCCCGAGGCTCAGACCAGACTCTGAAACACGTAGACATATATTCACTTGTGTAAAACTCTACACTGTTCCATAAACTCAAGTATTAGCACTGAATAGCAGGGTGCTAACATAAACACGTTTTTTTTTTGCCGACTTTTCAGATCACTGTGGGGTCAGGCACCCTGGAACCTCTCAACAAGAAATGTACATTTACAGCTTTTATTTAGTTATTAATATATCTTCCCTCACCTCCTCCCAGCTTTGATGTAGCAAACCCAATTCTTTTTGTACCTCATTCTGTTCCTCACAACTTCAAATTTACCAAGCAAACCCACTTTTTATGACCAGATGTTACAAAGTAGGCCTTGTGTATCGCAGCAGTGATGCCTCTCACGAAAATTAGTGTTTGGTTCTGAGAGTCACCCAAGTGATTTTCTAATAGGTCAAACAGTATGGTAAACGAAACAACTGGGCTGTTTTAGTCCTGTCTGTTACAACTTTCTGAGGCCAACCCTACATGGAAGTTTTTTTTTTTTTTTTTTTTTTTTTTTTTTTTTTTTCATTTTGATGTGAGGCAGAGAGGAAAATATGGGTGTCTGCCAAGAGAGAAAATCATTGAACGGCTCACTGTTGGAAAGAGCCACAAGTTTAATCTGTGTGTTTGAGTGGCAGAGCGAGCGTGAGCTGAATGTGTGTTTTCATTCAGATTTTAAAGTGCTTCCTATTTTTTTTCCGAAAGCCTAAGGGGTGTTACTTGTAACTGACCCCTAAAGGTAGCAGTACCATCAAACTGTAGACCGTCTAGCCGCCCTGTCTCGTTTTCAACACGTTTGTATAAAAGACATTGGGTACGACACGATCCGCATGCTGACTCTTCGTTTTTGTGTTTCTTTAACACCTAACCAGTGTTGTGTTCACAGTCCTCTGTGTAACAGACTAAGCTAAAATATTTACTACAGTACTGTAGTTGTATTATATTTTATTATGTCATTTTTTTGAAGCCAAGAAAGGTTTCTTGGTAGTATTGAGAATACTAAACCGAAAAGGGATTATTTCTCCTCACTGTGTGTGCACTATCTCTGCCTCCAAACAAAGCAATTATTGAAGGTCGTACAGAAAAATAAAATCCTCTTTTTAATATTTTGTATTTTTATTTTATTGATGGGAAGAAAAACGACTGTTTCTGGACATTGTGATTAATATTATTATTATTATTATTATTATTATTATGCACTGATAACAAGGCCCTTATACTGTGTCTGTGTTTTTATTTGATTGTTTTATTATTATTATTTTGGCATGACAGGCAACTTTTTCGTTCTTTTTTTGTCTTTTCGTTTCAGTGATCAGCCTTAATTTCAAATGTGATAGTTGAGCACAACAGCAGTCTCAGGGTAAGAGGCGTGTTGAGTGCATGCATGTGTGTTTCATGCGAGGCTGAGTGTGTGTGTCTGGGATGTGTGACCCACGATTTTGTGTCTTGTTGTGTATATATAATCCCTGGCATCGGGATAGGCCATGATTTCCTAATGAAGAAAAACGTGTTCATCTCGTGAACAACGTCCCTGTCGGACAGCTTAGTCAAACTTTCTTCAGTGTAACAAAGTGTTTCTGTCAGCTGCTTGAATGTGGAGACGATCCTAATTTAATCTGGTTTACGTTGGGTTTTCAGTAAAACCATTTTTTGTGTTTTCAGTAATGACCTAACGAAGCGTGTGCCATTCGATAGGCAAGGATGCAGTCGCTCCTGCTATTTGTCCGTATTGACCAGTTCAAGTTTTCAATCAAAGGTGTTTGTTTAAGAAGGAAGTGATGATGTACGATTTGTATTTTCAGTGAAATTCTAGAGGGTTTATATAAGAAGTCATGTAACTCGATGCCATTTTATGTCGATATGTATTTTTACTTTGACACTTGTACCTTTTACTGAATTGTCTCATATAATTGATTCTCTATTTGTTTCTTATATTAACATATCGATATAATGCTTCTAGTATAGCCGGGAGTTAGAAGCCAGAATGTTGAACTGTGGACACTCCAGCAATTCTGAAGCTCGTGATGTAGAAAAAGAGAAACACTCGAATAAACATTTGTACATAAATGAATGTTTCCCTATGTAAATGTAAACTAAAATCACACAAATAGCATATTAAGCAGATATACATTTTGTAATTAATGTTATTACACAGTTGATGTTTATGGCACGTGTATGAGCTCTTATCAGCATTAAAAAAATTATATATTGCCATTTATTTTCATGTGTTAATTCCCCCCCCACCCATCTGCACATATGTTTTTAATTGGAATATAATTAAAAAGATTAGTAGGCTGTTTTTTTTTAGGCGTTTCCCCTTCCGCAGGGGCAGGTCCCCATAATTAGACAGCAGTCCTGACGCTCCTGTACACACAGCTTCTGGTGGTGATTTGTCATTCGCGCATCAGTCATGCGGAGAGGAGGCCCGTTGGCCTCGGTGGGCAGGATTATGGTTAAGGGGGGCGTGCAGTGATGAGGCAGTGGATGCTGCCTTTGTGTATGACCTCAAGCCTGAGTCAGTTCGCTCATGGTCTACCATGGTGGGCTACGAATACTCACTGTGTCCCTGGAGGTCTGTTTAAACCTCCTTTTTTTCCCCTTAGTGATTACATCACTCAGCTTAGACTGAACCTCAAACCAAAATTCCTGTCACTTTGACAGGAAACAAAGAGTGGAAAACTCGTAATGCTTTCTTTAACTTGTAATGCCAGCAGGTACAAAACCTCACCTTTTATCTTCAAGCTTTATATATATATATGCGGAATTCTGTCACATTTTTATGGCAGTGGTTTCCTTTATCAAACACACACACCAAAAACAAGTGGTTCAGCTTCATAGAAGATAAATAAAACGTCACCCTGAAGCTTGAGGATGGCAACAGGAGCAGAACYGGACAGCTGTCTGCTCCGTCTTCCACCTCTGCTGCAGTCCAGCCATTGAGATGTAGACGCATCCACCCCCGCCAGCAAGAGAACTGCTGATGCTGCCATTTGCTGGTGTTAATTTATGCAGGATTATGCTAATCAGCGGGAGCTGTTGTAAACCTCTCACACCCAGGAATGCCTCTGAATGCCTGCAGAAAGACGAGTGCCGCAGCACTTCTTCCTGTATTTATCTACCAAGCATCCCAAATCTGCTCAATCTTAAAGGAGAAACATGCTATTTTTTTAATTCAGTAGGATTGACTAAAATGCCACATATTATAGGAACACAAATGATCAAATGTGAGATGTAGAAAAAAAACTTTATTTGAATCCCATGTGACCCCTATTCGCCACAAACATTGCACAGTATGAAAAGAAATCACATCATTGGGCATCATGTCACATTGGCTATACATGAGATCCTATTAGAAATGAAAATGCTTGTTTTTGGTGATTTAAAAAAAGCTCTTTGTAAGGTTGCTGAAAATAAAAGATCTCTGTAGTGTTCTAGTTTTCCAGTTCACTGGCCGTCGTCTTTTTTTTTTTCTCCGCTGAGTGATGGGGTGAAGGTTCTGCTTGAGAACCTGCTACATTGGTCATCTGAAATATCCCTTGGTATAAAAAAAAAACTTCAAATAAAAGCAGAGTTTTTATTCTTTTAAAACAGCTAAAAGTAAATTACAAAAAAACTATACTCATTAAAACAAACATTTTCTACAGTAGTGAATACGTTTTCCATCTGATGCCAAGAGCAAATTATGTTTTAAGACAATGAGATGACCTTCCTCTGCCTTTTAGTGTGCAAACAAACGAGGCAGACCAATCAGGAACTGATCTCTGAAATGTTGAACCGTAAACGTGTGGATGCGACCCGTCTGTTCTAGTTCTGTCTCTTTTATAGAAAGGCGAGATTTAGTGTAATGGAAATCRGGACAGACAGGCAGCATTTCTTTGATAACATTGTTTTTGGTCCCCGTGTGCAAATAAAATACACATGTAGATACATACGCATGTATATGAAATGACTAAACTTACAGCCAAGGCACCTTGATACAGTTTCTTTTTCTATTAAAAAAAAACTAAAAAAAAAAAAAAACATCCTTGTCGAACTGATTGGTATACCAAAAGTAGAAATGATCAGGTGTTTCGTGTGGATTTGTTCTGTTTGGCGCAGACGAGTCACTGACGTGAGGACTTCCACAGCTCCAGACACACAGTCAGTCTCAGGCCCCTCCCTCTCCTTTAGGAGACCAGCTGTTTGGCTTGCAGCTCCATCTCTGCAGCTCGTTTGAGGGCCACGTCCACCAGGAGCTGGAAGCCACTGAAGTCTTGTGTGAGGTCTGGCGGGGTCGGGGGAGGGGTGTTAAAGAGCCCGCTGCGGGGGCTCAGGTTGCCCTCCACGCCGGCGCCGCCGAGGATGGTGGCGGCGGCGGCGSCAAACGGGTACCCCTCGTCCCGGCACCGGAGCAGCGCCTGCGCCGACTGCAACAGCTCGGCCGCCCTGTCGCAGTTCATGCCCGACACCGGCGGGTGGGGGGCCGCCACGGTGGTGTGACAGATGACGGAGGGCCGGTTTGGAACGAGYCCCGAGGAGGAGGACGTCAGAGAGGGCGCAGCGGGGGACACGGTCTTCCTCAAGACGCCGGGCACGGCGGGGTCGAAGCCGGAGGGGTGCAGGGCGCGCTTGTCGCAGCCCTCCTCGGGGCCCGACGCCGGGGGGCTGCTGTGCTTCGGGGACTGCGAGCTGTCGGAGAAGCTGTCGCCGCTCTTGCTGCCCTTCCTGGAGATGGTGAACTGGTTCGGGTCTTTGCCGTCTTTTCTCAGCATCTCGGGGAGGAGGCGTCGCCGGGCGTTAATGAACCAGTTGCACACCTGGGAGGAAGGGAAACAACAACAACAAAAGGCATGCAGTGAGAAAGCTGTGTTGTGTTTTGCCTTGCAATCTGAAATAATAATAAAAAAAATCTGCTGGTAGACTTATCACCAGGTGCTGTTTGCGCAACAGTAAACTCCAGCTATTACATCCTATTTATCTTATTAGTAAAATAACATGTTCTTCTCCAAGTTCAAAACTTTGATTTCCTGCATTTTAAAACGTTTTGAATCAGAATTTGTCACCGCACTAATGACAGTCGTCTCCCATTTCTTTTGACTTTTTGTTCTCGCTCCTTCAGGCTAGCCGTAACTGGCTCATGGACGCCTGTAACTCTAACTATGTAAATGACTCTGCATTGTTCCCAGACAGCTGGGATGGAACGGGGCTGGAGGGAGGGAAATTCCTGTCCAAACGTCTCAGCCAAACCCACAGCACCCGAGGAGTCGAGTTTACTCGCGTTGCCCTGTAGACTTTGTGTTGCAGCGCTGAGCTGGTTTGGATGACCTTCAATTCACTACTGACGTYTTTTTGTTTGCCATCTTGACAGGAAATGATTCAGTTAGGCTCACACTTGTTTCTTTATGAGTTCTACAGTGGATTTTTTTTCCCTCCCCGCTGCTGTGGTTTGCTGAAGGGTAAAGCTCATATAACCCCTGTTTTCTGGTAGTGTGAGTTCATACCTGCAACGTGGACAGCTGAGTCTGCTTGGAGAGGAGGGCTTTCTCCTGCTCGGACGGGTAAGCGTTGTAACGGTGCTCGTACAGCCAGTCCCTGAGGATCTGGACCGACTCCTTGGGCAGGTTCCCCCTCCGCTTCCTCTTCCCGTTGCTCCCGGCGCTCGAGGACAGGTCCAGGGGAGCGTCCACGCTGTCCTCGTCGTCGGTCTCGCTCCCCGACGGCATCGTCAAACCTGCGCAGGGGGGACGAGGACAGAGAAGACCCTCTTTAGCGCCAAACGGGCCGTGTGGCGAGGCAGCTGATGTGTCAGAAGCGAGCTGTCAAGTTCAGCCATGTGATTCATAGAAGGAAGAGGAGGAGGCGGGAGTATCACAAAAGGGCTGATGCTGTGTCGGTCACAGAACCTGCCTCAACAAACAGGCCAGACTGAGAGTACAGGAAGACGAGATTCTTTTTTTGTCCACAGAGAGCAGCAGATTACAGCCTTCTAGTTTGGATTTAATCAAAATCACATGGTCAAACATGGCCTTTGAATCGCTTGTGCAGCGTAGCTCCAACGAAAGACAGTCCACATGTTTCTAAAACCTTCCTTTAAGCCTCTAATTAACCTGGTGTGCAGCTTATATTTAAAGAAAATGCTCCAACAGATTCAGATGGGGGGGGGGGGGGGGGAGCTTCTGTAAGAAACCTACATGTTTGGAAGATTTAATTGGGTCAGTTAGGACCAACACAGAGACGAACCATACCCCCAACTCCAAAACACAAGGTTTCATTCAAGTTCACGCAGTCTGCACTTGAGCAAAGAAAAAAAAAGTAGTGAGAAATGAGTAAAGAAAGTCCCCCCACCCCCCCACCCCCAAAAAAAGAAAAAAAAAGTCTGAGTGGCCAACAGGATGAGGTAATTACGTAGACTTGAGGGGGGTGAGGGGGGGAGGGGAGACCTGTTGCAAATCAGCGTCTCCAGACTAAACAAAAGAAGCCAGCAGCGCTGCGTGCTTCTTTGTACGCGATTCAAAAAGTTTCCACAGCGCCAACAGCGAAGTTTACCGTAAACCCGACACCTCCTGAAACACCACAACCGAGCAGAAAAGTGCCACAGCCCCGGACAGAGAAGCCGCTTTATGTTAAGTTTAACACAACTCGCGAGAGGGTTTCCATTGTGTGTGCGCGAGCGTGCGTGGACTGCACCACGAGGTCTCTGAACTGCAGCAGCAACTTCCCACAATGAGGTCAGGATGAACATTAGCCCACATTTAGGATTTGTCCCATTAAACACGCTCCACCACTAAATAAATAAAATAAAATAAACACAGACATGAGCGGACTTTTAAAACGTCCAACGAGCCCCAACAACTTTAGCTTTAAATCAACAATTGACCGCGTTGTCACAAAATCTCCGTCCTGTTAGCGCCGTTTCGTGCGTGTTGTTGCTGATTTTACAAAACAATAAGTCTCCTTTTTGAAAATAAAATTTTTAATTCGTCACAAAGTTAGTTTAATCGCATAGTGGGGTCGAAATAAATACACCACACGACAGTTTGTGAACAAAACTAGCATAAAACGGCTAATAATAATAATATAATAATAATAATAATAATAGAAGAACCATAACGACTTTTTGACATGACGCCAGCACATGGCAGGAAAAAAGCCCCCCTGTCATGTCTGGAAAGGAAACAATAGGCTGCGTGGTTTGCATACGAGGGGGAAATAGCTGTGTTTAACATTACCCAAGCTGACTCAAAGACCATTTTTATTAATCGAACAACCCCCCTAAAAACACCCCCACTTACCCTTTTTCGACTTCATCTCCGTCCGAAGATTCCCAGTAATTCCTCGCCAAGCGCAGAAGAGAATTCTCTTGTTGTTTTTCGTCTTTGCTCCAGCGTGTATCCGAAAATCATCCAAAGGAAAAAAAAGAAAGAAAGAAAGGAAAGCCCCTTCCTTTATTTTCCCCCGCTTGAATATATATTTTATCTGTCCCTCTTCTTGTCCTTGTTTGGAGTCTTGGTGGTGATGAGGAGGAGGAGGAAGAGTAATGGGGGGGTTACCTGAGATCTGTGTGTGCGTCCCTTCGGCTCACAGCCCTTTCCTCATTGACTGTGTGTGTGTTTGATCCTGAAACTGGGTGACAGCTATCTTTGACAGCTGCGTGACTCAACGCAGAGATCCTCCCACCATGTAGAACAGAAGGGGGGGGGGGGGGGGGGTCTCTGACATCAGCTTGGCTTGTTCTAATGACATGAATACGGTTTCGTAAAGCTTTAAAAAATATATGTAAACTCTTATGTTGTGAATGTTACGCACAGAGGAGGGGTAACAAAAACAACAACAGGCTGCTGAAGGAGCACTGCGGACTCTGTGAAAAACCAGTCTTGCTGCGGGCAAGGATTTTTCTTTTCGACTTTATTTCCTTTCTCCTGCTACAGACATTATTTTTGTTCATTTGAACTGACCTAAATTGTCGCATGTTTATCGGAGACCACAGATTCCCCCGATTCTATTGCGTCACTGCTGAAAAATAATTATATTTAACCCCCCTCCCTGCTGTTTGTGTCATTTCATTTTAAATATTTGTTTTTTTTAAAAAAATAGTTAAGCAGATGTAGTAGCGTTAAGTGATCCAGCCTCTCATCAGTTGGAGGTTATGGTGCACCAGTCCAGGTTACTAAAGCAAAAACAAGACGGCAAACTGCGGGAGTGGGGGACGATCAATGCCTTCATTTGTATGCGCCGCAGAACCCTGCGACAGCTGCTGCTGTGGCAGCGTCTCTTCGCATGAATTTGCTCCAAACAAGTCCCTCCTTGAAGCGAAATGTCGCCCTCTCGAGGTCACGTTCAGAACTGCGTTTGGGCACAGAAAATCTGAGGTCCTCGGGCTCCCTCTGGTGGCCAATACGTCGCTGTGCAACCCGGGTTCCACATAAAGACAGAGGGGGAAATGAGTCTTTATATTGTTGTTGTTGTTGTTGTTGTTAAACAAATGTGGCAGCAATATTAAAAAGTTGGCCAGTTTGAACTAAGAACAGAACAGGCTATTTCAGTATATTTATGAAAATATGATAATACAGAAGCAACGAATAAGAAAACAAATGCAAAATCTGCATTTTAAGTGGGCCGGTACACACCACCTCGCAGTAGCATAACTTCTAATACTTACGCCTCGGCTTACCGGAACTTTTTTTTTCCTGAGTCTGGTGCGTATTGGCACTTTTTCTGTTGTTGTAACAGGCGTTATGTCAACCTGCTGCAAGTTTGAGCTCTGGACCGCGCAGGCCGAAGAAAAAAAGAAAAGGAGCGCACATGCTCTCTATCGGACTGTAACCAGTGCGCTCTTCTCGCACACAGACTGAACTGAGGAACAGAAAAACGAGACACAAAATGGTAGCGCTTTGTCCGCCATTACTAGCATAAAAAAATCTGTCGGCCCACAATGCATTATGGGATATGGTAAGCCGGGAAGGATCCATCGGACCAGTCCTTCAATTCGGGGCAAAGAAGTTTTTGGATTTGGACAGCTTCCGTCGTGGCTCTGTGACGTAAGCGGCCTACAAATTCGGCCTTTGGAGGACCCGGCCACCTGTTTTGGACACAGCCAAGAAAAACCATCACTTCCTTGTCATTACTCTTCTTTAGTGATGGGGCTTGGTAATGTTTAAAACTGTTAAACACTGCCACCAACTGTTCAGGAGGATTATTACACCCATAAATGTTTCACTGTGGAAGCGGCGTGTACAGCAAGGTGGCCAATGGGGTGGCCAAAGATTTTGTTACAGGCATCCATGGCCACCCCTTGGCTCTGCTCCTGAGGGAACACACAAATTAAGGCAAAATAAGCACTTTTCCAAAAATGTTTTAAAGTATAAAACATATTAAACTAATTCAGAGGACAACGATGTTTAAACGATGCCTTTGGTAAACTTAGAGAACCAAAAATAATATTGATAATATTCAAGTAAGTTTGGAATCTTGGGGGAAAAGCCAGTAGTGCACATCATCCCAGAAAACTTTACAGTAAATACATTCATAAAATGATCTGTTGACTGAATGTTACCATCCCAAAATGAACAGATATATATT